GGAGCCATTACTAAGGCGTCGAGTGGTGATGCCTGGAGTGGGGTCTGGAGAGCCTGGGCCCCTAGGGGCCCAGGACCAGCATGTGGCCTCTGGCCCCTTCTGCTTGGACCTGGCTCCTGGGGGACTTGTTGGGGGTCCTTACTGGGCTAAGGGACCCTGTTTCCCAGGAGTCCCAAGGCCTCCATGGAGAGGATGGGGCAGCTGAGGCTGCGTTTGGGGAGCCCACTGAGAGCGGGAAGCAGGGAGGAGCTCAGAGCCCTGGGCCTCAGGCTGGGAGTGGGGGGCCTTGTCGCTCTGCAGCTCTGTCCTGTCCTGCCAGGGGAGGAGGCAGCTGCTGGCTTGGGAGGAGCGGTTACGTAACATCTGCAGGCGGCCCCTCTGGAGCCCGTTCCCCCCAAGCTCTGTTTCCAGCGTGGCGGCCAGCGCCGGGTGGGGTGCTGGGCTGGAGCCTGGCGCTCGCCTCCACTGCTGACCACACGCGTCTGGAATGTGCAGATGTTTCCTTGGGGGCTCCGGCTGGCCCCCAGACCCCACCTGGCATCTGGACTTGGGAGTGGGTACCCAGGCCACTCCCCCCTTGGCAGAGAAGGAAACTGAGGCTGCTCTGTGCTTCAGGGCAGTGTCCTGGCTTGTCTGGGGCCGGCGTTTCCTCAGCTCTAGAAGGGACTTGCCCTCAGAACCACCCAGGGCTCAGGAACAACCCTCTCCTTGGCCTCTGCCTCTGCATACCTCGCCCTACTCACCTGACCTAAATAGCCCCCTTCCCATCTCTCCCCACTGGGCCCTAAGGTGCCCCCCCCACTCCACTCCCCTTCCCTCTGCAAGACCTGGGATGTGCACCGGGCCATGATGCAGGGGCTAAGCCCTGTGTGGGGAGGGCAGGGGAGCACTACCATTGTCCATCAGATGGGAAGCCCTGAGCACCTTTAGCTGAACACTACCAGTTTGGTGGTGGAAGCAGGGATCCCCCCACCCCAGCTCCTGCTCAGAGCAAGAAAGATCAGAGCCTGAATGAAACACTTCCCTGGGAGGCTGGTGCTCCTACCTGTGAGGATGTCTGATCTGGAAGGCAGGGGGAATTGGGACAGCCCCAGTGTGGGGGGCAGACTGGGCTCCCCAGCAACTACTGGGGCACTGTCGGGGAAGGGAAGGAAGTCCCAGGTATATGGGGCGGAACAGGGCTCTTCACTCCTCTCCCAACACAGTTATACCTGTCTCAGAGCAGGAGAGGGAACAGAGGAGGAGGGGACATGCCAGCTATGGAATGTGCTGTCTCAGTCCAGTGCTGAGGGCAGTTGAGGGCCAGCTTCCCAGCCTGTCCCTGGTGACCAGGATGGTGACACATGTCTGGTGCTGTCGTAGTGTGTGCCTGTTCCCAGGTGGTGTGTGTGGTCCCCAGGTCACCACTCCCCCTGAGCTGGTGTGACCCCTTCAGCCTTGGGGTCCCTGGGAGTTGTTGACTTGGGCCTTGGAGGGACCTGGGAGGGTCCAGATGGCCCAGAGGGTGGACCCTGCTTGACCCGGGACCTCTCGGGTGTTGTCTAGTCTGGCCACTGGCTCTCCTCCCAGTGGGGGCTGGCCGCCATGGTGCTTGGCCAATCTCTCCTGCTTCTGCCGGCTCTGCTGGGCTCCTTGAGGTCCTTTAGGTGGCTCCCTGGGCCCCCCTCCCCCGCTTTGTAGGACATGGAGAACTCAAGTGTGGGGGCAGGGCGTCAGACTGTGATGATGTCACCTAGGGGGTGCAGAGGAAACCCGAGGGGCTGGAGAGGGGGTGGGCTGGCCGACGGCCACCTTGGCGTTCCCCCAGAACAGTGACAGCAAAAGCAGATGGGGATGTGGAAAACTGGCTGTTAGGGCCATGGGGCTGGGTGAGGACTCCATTGGTATTCGCCTCCAGTGTCCCCTCCAGAGCCCTTCTTCCAGTGTCCTCCCTGCCCCCTATCCCTCCCAGTGGACATGGGTTTTACCCATGGTGTGCGCCGTGCAGACATTCTCACAGCCCTGGGCCGGCGGGGCCTGTGGTGCATGTCCTGGTTCTGCCCTCAGGCCACAGGAGCTTTGCGGGGCAGGGTCCCCAGGCAAAGCTCCTGTTTTCTCTGCACTGTGGGCCATGGCCAGGCCCAGGTGAATCCTGGGGAGAAGGGGCCCATTGGGGCCTGTAGCATGGAGCACATGGCCGGAGCACGTGGCCAGAGCCCGTGACAGGGTGAGGCTGTCTTCTGTTGCTCTAGGGGAGCCTCCGTGGTACAGAGCTGGGCCGAGGATGGCCTGGAGCCATGGGCCAATGAGGCCAGGGATGGTGGTGTCCTGCCAGCGTGGGTGCTGGCTCAGTGGCTGGGACACTGAGGTTGACCTGGCCCCTACCTCCTGTCCTGGTTTCTCTGGCACCACAGATGGCTCCCAGCAGCTGCCACTCATGATGGATTTTCCAGAAAATGGGATGTGGAAAAACATTTTAGGGATTTTCCTTTTTTCCTCTTCTGCTAGAAGGCTGAGAAGCTGTCCCTGGCGCCCCTGGCGGGTGTTACATGCCTGTACTTACCCTGATGTCTCACAGTCCCCCAGGCCTCCTCCCCAGGTCATCTTACTGCCTAGGGCTGTTGCTTCTCAGGCTCCTACCACCCAGTTTCTCAGAGGTTCAGATTCCACAGCTGTCCTTGCTTCAGCCACTAGGAAGTCCCTGCTGGGGTCTAACTGAAGTTCCTCGTGGCACAGCCGTCCCTACTACAGAGTGTGGTACGGGACATTAGATGGAATCTGGGTGCCTTTCCTTGGTCTCCTGGCCTGTCTCACACCCTCCCCATGGTGTAGACACCCCACCAGCCTAGCTGTGGGCACACATTCTCATATGCCATGGTGAGGGGCCTCAGCTTGTGCTGGAAAAGACTGTGTGTCCCTTTTTTTTTTTCCTGAAGTAGATGTGACTGTCCTAAATTGTTTTATCAAGTAAGAGTTTTACAGACACTGCTACATGAGCGGTATCAGTGGAGCTAGAGAGCATTGAGCCTTCCCTAGGCTGTGGGCAAGAACTAGCAGCGCTGTGCTGGGACCTGCCCTCCTCACCACTCAGCTCTCGTGGCCTTATGGCTGTCAATCCTGCATCCTCGGTTTGTGATCTGCTGGGTGTCAGGATTCCTTCTGGAGGCTTTGTGGCACGGATCAGGGAGAATAAACTCAAAGAATTTGTATGTGAAATCTTTGTCAACCAGTAAGCTCGCTGCTCAACAACAGACTGAGGGCTTTGAGCAAACTTAACACTATGAGGGACGCATGGGCTCCCTAAGGACCTGCAGCCACCATGCCCCTTGGGTTCCATACCTAACATGACTGGCTTGTGTCCCAATGGTTGGGCTGGCTGGGGTGGGGCCGCCCACAGTACCCCCTGGAAAAAAATGGGCTGCTGCGTCCTCTGCTGCTCTGGGACTTGCTCGCAAGTGCCCAGCTCAGCTTACCCAATGGCACTGCCAGATGGAAGGGGACGACTTTTCCTCCCCATATGTGAGGGGGATGAAGGAAGCTAGGCTCCATGGTGGGGCACAGAGGTGACCTGCCAGAAGGTCCTGTCCCCGTGTTCCCTCGTCCCCAAAAGCCTCTGCTCCTGGAGTTCCTGGAACCCATGCCTGGGCATGGGCGCCCTGTTCACAGCCCTTCGGGGAGGGGACTTATATTTGCGTGCACGCACTCTCTCTCTCTAGGTAGGAGACTGAGAAGCTCAGTGAGATTGTCTGGGGTACCTAGCTCAGGTGAAGTGCTGCCGTTTTGAGCTTGTCGCTGGGACAGAGCCTCTGCCAAGTCAGGCATTGCCCCTCATCCCCACCCAGGCCTGCATATTCAGGACACCCATCAGAGCAGTGGTGGGGCTGCAGGTCCTCCAGGCTGAAGCCTCCACCCCTATTGGGTCCCAGCAGGAGCTCCAGCCCCACCCCTGCTCTGTGGGACCCCTGTCCAGTGTCTCAGAGGTCCCACTACTGGGAGGACCCTGCCCCTTGTTGTGCTGCCCTTCCCACTGTGCCTGAGGTTCTACTCACAGCCCCTGTTGAGGAAGCCTCGGCTCAGTGGAGGACTGTGGTCTTGCCCACCTACTGCCTGTGCCCTCCTGACTGAGGCCTTAGGAAGCCAGCATCAGCTGAACATGTCATGTCCACGTGCTGTCGCTTGGCGCCGAGTTTCCCAGTGGCTGCCCCACTATGTGGAAGGGGGACCAGGCTCCCAGGGGTTAGCTGACTGCATCCACAGTCCCCCTTCCCTCACCCACTCTGGGCCTGGCTCCCCCCCCGTCAATCACCTGCGGGCCAGTGGTGCCCTCCAGAAGTCCCCCAGGTGGCCATTTAAATTGCTAGTGCTTTCCCTAGCTTGTAATTTGTTTTCTGATTTTATGATATTTTGTGTGGAAGTTGTGTTTTTAAATGCAGTTGGAGCTTTTGGGTTTTGATGTTTTCTTTAGGTTCACGCTTTGAAAACCTGTGACTCTCCTGTGTTCAGTTCTCTGATGTGCTTACATTGACTTTGAGTCCCTAGTGTTATCGAGATACGGCTCTGACTCATGCCTGGACCCCAGGGCTTAACGTGGGCCGTCACTGTTGCTCTGACATGGGTTCATCCACCAGAACTTCCTCATTGTTTATCTCATCTTTGTGCCCACTGTGTCTCAGTACCATCCCTCCCACCCCCCACCCTCCATAGCTGGCAGCATCTGGGCCCCCACCCTGGAGACCACTAGACTGCCTTGTATGTTCTGAACCCTGTGTGGAGGGGTAAAGTCTGCCCTCCATGGTGCATTTCCACCCTTCTGGGCCAGGGGGCAGGGGGCAGGAGAGGAGGGTGGAGGATCTAGCTGTCAGGTTCCCAGATGAGAGTTCATTCAGATCTTCTTTCCCTGGCCCTGGCAATAAGGCCTGGAGGGTGGGAGGCTACAGCTGGAGGGCTTCTGGCGTGGCCTGGGGTCAGCTTTGTACCCAGCCCTGGGCTCCAACCTTGACCTGCACTGCTTTGCTCCCCAGAGACATCTCCCACAACCTGCTCCAGGCACTGGACAGCGCGTTCCTGGCGAACCTCTCGGCGCTGACAGAGCTGTGAGTGTCCCCTCCAGGGCGGCTGTGGGATTCTAAGTGGGCAGGTGGCAGCTGCCTGTCCCCAGTGTGGTTGTTGGGGCCCTGATCCAACCGTGTTGAACCTCCCCTTTCTTACAGGGACATAAGCGACAACAAGATTTCTACATTAGAAGAAGGAATATTTGCTAATTTATTTAATTTAAGTGAAATGTAAGTTTTGTTGTTTTTGGTGGTTGTTGGTGGCTGGGCCCATGGTCCCTGACACCTGCCTCACTGCCCGCTGGACGCCTGCCTTGCCTTCTGCCCCCAGAAACCTGAGCGGGAACCCGCTGGAGTGTGACTGTGGTCTGGCCTGGCTGCCGCGCTGGGCGGAGGAGCAGCAGGTTCGCGTGGTGCGGCCCGAGGCGGCCACATGCTCTGGGCCTGGCCCCCTGGCTGGCCAGCCCCTCCTCAGCGTCCCTCTGCTGGACAGTGGCTGTGGTGAGTGCGGGTGGGCGGGGTAGACTCAGCCCCTCCCTGCCCGGCAGCTGGGCCAAGTGGGAACCCTGCAGGTTTTCAGGGGTCACCAGTCTAGGGGTGGCAGACAGGGATCCGGGAGCAGATGCACCTGGGGAACGATTGCAGGGCTGAGACAGACTGACCTGGTGAGAAGTCAGCAAGGCCCTCTGGACCAGGGGATGGTGTGAGTGGGAGGTGGGGAGACCAGCCTGGAGGTGGGGGTGAGTGCCATGCAGCCGTTGGAGGGTCGCGAGTGATGTGATCTGGGACCTGGAATGGGGACAGAGAGGCAGCAGGGGTGGGGTGCGCCTGTGGGACCCACCTGCCTTCCCCTTCTAGGTGAGGAGTACATCGCCTGTGTCCCTGACGACAGCTCGGGCACCGTGGTGCTGCTGGCCTTCTCAGCTGCCCATGAGGGCCCGCTGGCAACTGAGGCCTGCAGCGCCTTCTGCTTCGTGGCTGGCCAGGACCTCGCAGCCCTCTCCGAGCAGGGCCGGTGCCTGTGTGGGGCGGCCCAGCCCCCCAATGCCTCTTCTGCCTGCCTGCCCTTCTGCTCCAGCCCCCCGCTGCCCCCCACCCCCACCTGTGGGGGCCCCACCCTTCTCCAGAACATCTTCCCTGCCTCCCCAGGGGCTGCCCTGGTGGGGCCCCGAGGACCCCTGGCCTCTGGTCAGCCAGCAGCCTTCCATGTGTCTGCCCCACTGCCTGTTAGCTCCACCCGCTGGGACTTTGGCGATGGCTCCCCTGAGGTGGATGTTGCTGGCCAGGAGGCTAATCACTGCTACATGCTGCCTGGGCACTATCATGTGACAGCTGTGCTGGCCCTGGGGGATGGCTCTGCTCGATTGGGGGCGGAGGTACAGGTGGAGGCCGCTCCCGCAGCCCTGGAGCTCATCTGTCTGGCCTCGGTGCGCAGTGACGAGACCCTGCAGTTCGGGGTCCGAAACCGAGGCGGCTCCAGCCTCCAGGCTGCCTACAGCATCGTAGCCCTGGGAGAGGAGCCAGCCCAAGGTGGGGCCACCCCGCCAGTGGGCCCAAGTCAGGGAGGGGCAGCCTCCGTGGGGCACATGTTAATGTCTTTCTGCCCTCTGCTCCTCCCCACCAGTGGTGCATCCGCTCTGCCCCTCGGACACTGAGATCTTCCCTGGTAATGGGCACTGCTACCGCCTGGTGGCAGAGAAGGCAGCCTGGCTGCAGGCGCAGGAGCGGTGCCGGTCCTGGGCTGGGGCTGCCCTGGCCATGGTGGACAGTCCTGCTGTCCAGCACTTCCTGGTCTCCCGTGTCACCAGGTGCCTGTCCAAGTGCTTCTGGTCCTCAGAGAGGCTGGGAGGTAGAGGGGTCCCTAGAATGCTGGGATGGGGGTGGAGCCTGAGCAGATCGGAGCATCTGGAGGGGCCAGCCGGCCGGCCTGTTGGCTCTCCTGATACAGATGTGGACACAGAGGTGGAGGATGTGCCAGCTGTTGGAGGTGCACCCTAGACCCTGTCTCCCATCTGTCCCATGCCAGGCCCCTCTTGGCAGGGGCAGGCAAGATTCTGGTGTGACTGAGGAGGCTTCCCTGCTTTCTGCTCCGCACACTACCCACTACTGGGCGCTCAGTGCTGCCGCACGCTGCCCACACACAGGGCCTCTTAAACGCACTCACTGCCCAGGCCTGTGAGGAAGCATGCTTGGTAGTATAGTCACCGTGGGTAGCCCCACCGGGTCTCAGCTTGGCCCTCAGCACCTGCCATGGCTGGTGGCAGGAGGGGTGGAGGCTGAACCCCCTTCTCTCCTGGGGTCCCTGCTTGGGAATGGGCTGAAGAGGCTGTGCATCACCCTGAATGTCCTCAGTGTCCGGAGCGGGAAACCAAGGCCTGAGCGGTCAGAGCCCCTGCCCAGGGTCACGTGGTTAAGGGCCCAGCTCTGGCCACAGCGCTTCACTCCCCTTCCTGTGCCTGTCCCTGTCCCTCTGTCCCTCTGCCTATCTCTGTCCACGTGTATATCCCCGTCCTTGTATCTACAAACCTTGCCTCCAGGAGGGTCTTTGCCTTGACAGAGCTGTGGGGGCTGATATGTGGATGTCTTGGTCCCCAAATACTGCACCTGGAGCCTCCCCTCAGCACATGGGTCAGATCTGCAGGGCCCTTGTCCAGATGGCGATGGGGCCCTGTGGGGATCTCTCAGCTGGGCCCCTGGCCCTTTGGGATGGGTGGTTGGGTAGGCACTGCTGTGGGCCCTGCTTGCCACATCATATCTCTGAGCCTCAGTTTCCCCATTTGGAAGGTAGAGACAGATGGGGCCCACCTGATCAACTGCTTTGAGGAGGTGCCCTCAGAAAGAGGGAAGATGGGAGATGCTTGTCTCTGGGGAGCCCCTGAGTGCCTGCCCTTCCCACTGTCTGCCTGCAGGAGCCTGGACGTGTGGATCGGCTTCTCTGCTGTGGAGGGAGCTGAGGTGGGCCCAGCGCCGCAGGGCGAGGCCTTCAGCCTGGAAAGCTGCCAGAACTGGCTGCCGGGGGAGCCACACCCTGCCACGGCTGAGCGCTGTGTGAGGCTTGGGCCTGCTGGGCAGTGCAACACGGACCTGTGCTCGGTGCCGCACAGCTATGTCTGTGAGCTGCAGCCTGGAGGTTCGCTGGGGCCCCTGGGGGCTGGGGAGCACCTGCTGCCCTGGCTCAAGACACCCCTTCCCCCCTAAAGCACATGGGGTCTCCTGGCCACACTGGGAGCCCCCCGGTCCCGGCCAGGACAGCTGCCACCTGGCACCACAGGTTCATTCCTTAGCTGTTCAGTGTTGGTTAGGTGTTTGCTGAGTGCCTTCTGTCCTGGACCAGATGAAACAGGTGAAGGGAGCCAGGGGCTGTTGCCAGGTGGCTCAGTCCCAGGTCTGGCCCCACCCTGGGCCCCCAACACTCTATTCTTCCGCTGGGGACCAGCACCTCATTGCACACTTGCACTCCAGGCCCCGTGCGGGATGCAGAGAACTTCCTCGTGGGAGCACCCAGGGGGGACCTGCAGGGGCCCCTGAGCCCCCTGGCACAGCAGGAGGCCCTCTCAGCCCCCCGGGAGCCCGTCGAGGTAGGCTGGCCCCCTGGCCCTCCAGGATGCAGTCTAGAGACTGTGCCTCACCCTGGCTGCTGTCTGTCTTTGAGAAACCAGAAGCCTTGTTATGGTCCTGTGTCCAGTAGAGAGTTTAGAAACCCCAGCACAGTGCAGAGAGTAGAAGGCCCCTATCCTGGTGTCTGGGAGAGCCCCAAATGCTCCTGAGCCTTTTGTCTTGGTGCTTGGGGACTTTTTGAAAATGAAGGTGGGGTTCCTATTACTCACAGATGGTTTTGAACTGATTTTTTCTCCCGAGTGACATTGTTTCCCACTGTGTGAAACAAGGCTCATGGGGGCCTCTTGAAGGCCCATCTCGTGGCTTCTCCCCTCTGACCTGGTGGGTGTTTGGGCCTCGGGGTAGGGCCAGGCTGAGGGCCAGGGTCTGTGGAGCTGAGCGGCCCCCCTGCCCCGCTAGGTGATGGTGTTCCCTGGCCTGAGCCTGAGCCGTGAAGCCTTCCTCACTTCTGCTGAGTTTGGGACCCAGGATCTCAGCCAGCCCGCCCAGCTGCGGCTGCAGGTGTACCGGCCCATGGAAGGAGCAGGTGGGACTCCATCCTGGCAGTGGGAATTGGGGGACTCAAACGACTCTCGGCAGTGTTGTATCTGCTTACCCCTCACCCACTGGACTGGTCTCCAGCCTCAAGGTGGACAGAGTGGGGTCCACAGAGAAGCCACCTTATCCTGGGGATCCCAAGGACAGATTGGGTGGGCCTGCCTGGGTGAAGGACTCACCAAGGTCAGTCAGCTGACCTGGTGTCAGGGTTAGAGGAGTGATGGTGGGGGCTAGGGGTACTGCCTGGCAAAACCTTGTGTCCTAGTGGGATGCCTGACCCCACTTCCTTTCCTTGTAGGGGCCCCAGAAAACATCAGTGATCCCCAGAGTAGGTCCCTGGAGAACAGGACTGAGCCAGCCCCTTCATGTATACCGGAAGAACACCAGTGCCCCAGATCCAACATCTGTCTGCCGCTGGATGCCCCCTGCCACCTCCAGGCCTGTGCCAATGGGTCCACATCAGGGCTGGGGCTCCCTGATGTCTCCTATGCACTGTGGAAAGAGTTCCTCTTCTCCGTGCCTGCAGGTCCCCCCACCCAGTACTCGGTGTGTGTCACTGGCCTGGGTGCTTTCTGCCTTTCCTTTAGCTGCCTGAGATCCAGGTCTCCTCATTAAACACAGACAAAATGCAAATTCTTCCGCACAGCCCACCAGGTCCCTTGTCCCCTCTCCCATGTGGCAGTGGCTGCCTTCATCTCCTGACATAGGACGCTTCTGCCCCTGGGCCTTGGCACTTGCCTTTTAATGAGGACTCTCCCCCTTTCTGGGTGTGGTTTGCTCCTTCCCATCATTGAAGTCTTGGCCACAAGTGTCCCTGTCCAGAGAAGCCCCAACCCTGCTTACATACTCTGCTGTGTGTGTTCCATCTGTCCCTGCCTTGAGTGTCAAGGGGGTCCCTGCAAAGCCTGGTGGCGTATGAGTGACTGACGAGTGTTAAGACCCCTGTAGGGGGGTGACTCTGGATTACCCCCAGGGGGATCTTGCTTGCCTACTGGAACCCCAGACCAGTGTTCCCCTATAGGCCCCTATCAGTGGTGGCCCACTGTGAGAACCTGACATGGCCCCACCTCCCTCTCCTGTAGGTCACCTTCCATGGCCAAGACAGCCCCCTGCTCCCTGGTGACCTCATCAGCTTGCAACATGATGCTGGACCAGGCACCTTCCTGCACTGCCCCCAGGCACTCGGCCACCCTGGCCCCGAGGTCCCATACTTCTTCACCAACGTCTCAGCCTGGCTGGCCCACCTGCCTGCCCAGCTAGAGGTGGCCCCAACTGGCCCTGCTTGTGCCCTGCGGCTGCTTGCTGCCACAGAGCAGCTCACCCCTCTGCTAGGCCTGAGCCCCAACCCGGGGCTGCAGCAGCCCGGGCACTATGAGGTCAGGGCCACAGTGGGCAACCACGTGTCCAGGCAGAACCTGTCCTGCAGCTTTGATGTGCTTTCCCCGGTGGCCGGGCTTCGGGTCATCTACCCCACCCCCGACGACAGCCGCATCTTCATGCCCACCAATGGCTCGCTCATGGTGCTCCAGGTGGACTCCGGTGCCAATGCCACGGCTACAGTACGCTGGCCAGGGGGCAATGTCAGCGCACCCTTTGAGGCCACTTGCCCTACCATGGTGGCTGCCCTGGTGCCTGGCTGTACCCACGAGGCCAACGCCACCCTATTCTCGGTGCTGGAGTTGCCCAGGCTCAGTGAGGGTGAACATGAGGTGGACATTGTGGTGGAGAATGGTGCCGGCCGAGCCGACCTCAGCCTGCAGGTGAAGGCTGAGGAGCCCATCCGTGGCCTCCGCGCCATGCCCAGCCCTGAGGCCCGCGTGCTGCAGGGTGTCTTGGTGGTGAGTGGCTGGAGGGTCGACCCAACCCCTATTGAGACGAGTTGCTTTTGCAGAGGGCAGCCCCTCCCCAGTGAAGAAAGCACTTGGTCGCCAGGGACAGTGGGCTCCGTGTCAGTTTCTGGGAAGGTCCTGTCAGGTGGCTTCTCAGGCTGTTCATTGATTCGTACGTTACTGGAAAGTCACCTCTAAAACAGTTGCTCTGAAAATGCTTCCTTCTGCTCTCACATTTTTCTGAACAAATCATTGAGTTTCTCACCCAGCTCTGACCTCACCGATCCTGGGTATGTTTTCAGAGCCCCTGCTATATCCCCATGTGGCTAGTGAGCACTTTTTGAGGGGAGGGTCTGATGCCATCTGGCCACTGTTGGTGCCACTTTGGGTGCCCACCTGCACAAGGCAGCCACCATTTATGCAGCCTTTGCACAGGGGCCATTGTACAATTTGTGTCCCCTGGCTTCCTGTGGTCACACCTGTTCTATCAGGTGATGCAGGTAAACATCAAGAATCATGGGGCCCATTGAGATGAACATGCCTTCCCAGATAACACTGTGCTGTCCAGCTAAGGGGCCCAAGCAGGAGCCTGGGGGAGAGGTACAGAGACTGAGGTGGGTGGGTTTTTTGTCACTGACACTAGGACTGCTCGACAGATGGGGAAACTGGTACAGAGAGGTCAAGGTATAACCAAGACCAAGCTCGGCCCCACTCCGTGTGGCCCCTCTGGCCAGGAGGGGCCCTGGGGCTCCTTGCCCACCCACTGTCTGCCCTCCCCGTCTCCCTGCTGTAGGATGTCTTGAGGTCCTGTCCTGGAAGCCCCACAAAGAGCTGTGTCCAGGCGGGTGGACATGGGCTGAGGGCAGAGTTGATCCTCCAAAGATCCTGGGCTGGGGCCAGGGTCAAGACCAGCTGACAGTGCCCTTCCCACAGAGGTACAGCCCCGTGGTGGAGGCTGGCTCAGACGTGGTCTTCCGCTGGACCATTGATGACAAGCAGTCCCTGACCTTTCACAACGTGGTCTTCAATGTCATCTACCAGAGCGCTGCCATCTTCAAGCTCTCGGTGGGCGGGGGCACAGGGGCAGGGCAGGGGCACAGGGGGCAAGGGCACAGGGGCAGGGCAGGGGCAGGGCGGGCTAGGGTGTCCACTGCTCACCTGTGCCTTCTGTTCTGCTTTGCTCTCGAGGACCCTGTGGTGGCAATGGGTGAGTGCAGGGCGGGGTGCTGTCCATGCTGCCTTGTGGGATGCTGGCTGCCTGCTCACCACCACCTGTTTCCACAGCTGACAGCCTCCAACCATGTGAGCAATGTCACTGTGAACTACAATGTCACTGTGGAGCGGATGCACAGGATGCGGGGCCTGCAGGTATCTGCGCTGCCACTCGTGCTGCCCCCCAATGGCACGCTGGCACTGGCGGCCCACGTGCTGGTGGACTCGGCTGTGGAGGTGGCCTTCCTGTGAGTGTGTTGGGCCTGGTGGGGAGCAGGGGCTGGGTGAGGCTGGCACCAGGTTCTCCCCCAGCCTCCACCTCCTCATCTGTCAGGAGGCGTTAGGTGCCTCAGACCTTGGGAAGGGGCCAGGGGATGCTGGGTGGTGCCCTGAAAGGAAGTGTAAGGGAAGTGACGGCAGCTGTAGCCAAGCCACTGGGCACCTCCCACTCCCATGGGTGTGGCCAGCCCCTCCCACCCATCCTCCAGCCTGCTCACCATCTGCTCTCTTCCCTGGCAGGTGGACCTTCGGGGATGGGGAGCAGGTGATCGGCCAGTTCAAGCCTCCATACAACGAGTCCTTCCAGGTCCCAGACCCTACAGTGGCCCAGGTGCTGGTGGAGCACAATGCAACACACACCTACACCGTCCCAGGTGAGGGTCAGGCCTACCCTGCCAGCGTCTGACTTGGGCAAGGCCTGCCCTGGGGTCAGCCTTTCCCTGGGGGACAGCCCCTCTGTCCTGCCTCCCCCCAGTCCAGCCTGGGCTGATGGCCAGGGCCCTTACTAGGGTGAAGAGTGGGTATCCAGGGGTGGATAGGGCCTCGGAGACCCATGATTCAAGTCTGCTGGCCAGAAACTGGACCTTCCTGTCTCCTCCCCTGAGCCTCTTTGTGAGAGAAGGGGAGGTTCTTTTTAGTCATTTTTAGAACTCCAGAAGCCACACACACACAGGTGCGGAGTAAACTGGTGCCCCCATAATCTCAGCCCTGTGCCTGTGCTTGTCCTGTTACTCCAAGTGCGTTCGCACCTGGAGATGGTTGCTCTTCATCTTGTTTCTGCCTCAGCCCTGCGTCTTGCCCTGAGCTGATGGCACCCTGTGTGCACCTGTTGGGAGGACCACCTGGGCAGTGTCCAAGGGCATTCTCTGTTCACATTTTGGCTGGGCCCTGCTCTGCCCACTCAGGAGGCCCCTTCCCACAACACGGGGTTAGGTGGGGAGTCTGCTGAGTAGGTGGTGGTGGCAGCGGTGACGGTGGCTCCGGCCCCATCCCCATCCCCACTCTGGGCCTGTCCCCCAGGTGAATACAACCTGACCCTGCTTGTGTCCAATGCCTTCGAGAACCTGACGCAGAAGGTGCTTGTGAGTGTGCGTGCCACCCTGCCCACCTTGGCCGTGGCCATGGGTAGTCATGTCCTGGTGGCTGGCCAGCCTGTTACCTTCTTCCCACACCCACTGCCCTCCCCCGAGGGCGTCCTGTATACATGGGACTTCGGGGATGGTTCCCCAGCTGTGACACAGCCCCAGCCAGAGGTCAACCACACGTATGCCTCGAGAGGCATGTACCACATCTGCCTGGAGGTCAACAACACTGTCAGCAGCACAGTGGCAGGTGTCAGTGTCCGTGTCTTCGAGGAGCTCCGTGGCTTGACTGTGAACCTGAGCCCAGCTGTGGAGCAGGGTGCACCTGTTGTGGTCAATGCCACCCTGGATTCGGGCGACAACGTCACATGGACTTTCGACATGGGGGATGGCACAGTGCTCACGGGCCCTGAGGCCGTGGTGGAGCACGTGTACCTGCGGGCTCAGAACTGCACAGTGACTGTGGGCGCGTCCAGCCCCGCCGGCCGCCTGGCCCAGAACCTGCCTGTGCAGGTCTTTGTCCTGGAGGTGCTGTGGATCGACCCTGTGTTCTGCATCCCCACCCAGCCCCACGCCCGGCTCACGGCCCATGTCACTGGGGACCCTGCTCACTACGTCTTTGACTGGACCTTTGGGGACGGCTCATCCAACACGACCGTCCAGGGGGACCCAACAGTGACTCACAACTTCACGCGCAGTGGCACATTCCCCCTGGCGCTGGTCCTATCGAGCCACGTGAACAAGGCGCATTACTTCAGCAGTGTCTGTGTGGAGCCCGAGGTGGGCAACATCACCCTGTGGCCCGAGAGGCAGTTCGTGCAGCTCGGGGACGAGGCTGGGCTGGTGGCCCGTGCCTGGCCCCCATTCCCCTACCGGTACACCTGGGACTTCGGCACTAAGGATGCTGCCACCCGTGTCGGGGGCCCTGAGGCCACATTTATGTACCGGGACTCGGGTTCCTACCTGGTGACAGTCACTGTGTCTAATAACATCTCGGCTGCCAATGACTCGGCGCTCGTGGAGGTGCAGGAGCCCGTGGAGCTCACAGGCATCAGGGTCAACGGCTCCCACGTTCTGGAGCTGCAGCAGCCCTACCTGTTCTCCGCTGAGGGCCGTGGACACCCCGCCACCTACCTTTGGGAGCTGGGGGACGGCGGGCAGTTCGAGGGCCCCACAGTCACCCACGCCTACAACTGCACGGGCTACTTCACTGTCAAGGTGGCCGGTTGGAATGAGGTGAGCCGGGGGGAGGCCTGGCTGAATGTCACGGTACAGCAGCGCGTGCGGGGACTCAGTGTCAATGCCAGCCGCACAGTGGTGCCCCTGAACGGCAGCGTGAGCTTCAGCACTGTGCTGGAGGCAGGCAGCAACGTGCACTACTCCTGGGTCCTCTGTGACCGCTGTACGCCCATCCCCGGGGGCCCCACCATCTCCTACACCTTTCGCTCCATCGGCACCTTCAACATCATTGTCACGGCTGAGAACGAGGTGGGCACTGCCCAGGACAGCATCTTCATCTATGTCCTGCAGCACATCGAGGGGCTGCAGGTGGTGGGTGGCGGCAATAGCTGCTGCTTCCCCACCAACCGCACGCTGCAGCTGCAGGCTGCGGTCCGGGACGGCACCAACATCTCCTACAGCTGGACTGCCCAGGGGGATGGCGGCCCAACCCTCACTGGCAGCGGCAAAGCCTTCTCACTCACTGTGCTTGAGGCTGGCACCTACCACATCCAGCTGCGGGCCACCAATATGCTGGGCAGTGCCTTGGCCAACCGCACTGTGGACTTTGTGGAACCTGTTGGGTGGCTGGCTGCGGCTGCCTCCCCAAACCCAGCTGCTGTCAACACAAGTGTCGCCCTCTGTGCTGAGCTGGCTGGTGGCAGTGGTGTCACTTACACCTGGTCTCTGGAGGAAGGGCTGAGCTGGGAGACCCCAGAGCCATCCACCACCCTCGCCTTTCCCACCCCCGGTCTGCACCTGGTCACAGTCATGGCCAAGAACCAGCTGGGCTCAGCCAATGCCACCATTGAAGTGGCCGTGCAGGTGCCTGTGAGTGGCCTCAGCATCAGGGCCGGTGAACTGGACTGCAGCTTTGTGGTAACCGGCTCCACCGTGCCCTTCTCAGGGCAGCTGGCCTCGGGCACCGATGTGAACTGGTCCTGGGCCATGCCGGGTGGCGACAGGCATGGCCAGCACGTCACCATGATCTTCCCTGACGCTGGCACCTTCTCCATTCAGCTCAATGCCTCCAACACGGTCAGCTGGATCATAGCCACACACAACCTCACGGTGGAGGAGCCAGTCATGGGCCTGGTGCTGTGGGCCAGCAGTAAGGTGGTAGAGCCTGGGCAGCTGATCCACTTTCAGATCCTGCTGGCCACCGGCTCGGCTGTCAGCTTCCACCTGCAGGTGGGCGTGGCTGGCCTCGAGGCACTTCCTGGGCCCCACTTCTCCCGAAGTTTCCCCCACGTCGGGGAATACACAGTGAGTGTCCAGGCCAAGAACCACGTGAGCCGGGCACAGGCGCAGGTGCGCATCTCGGTGCTAGAGGCCGTGGCTGGGCTCCAGGTGCCCGACTGCTGTGAGCTGGCCATCGCCACGGGCGCTGAGAGGAACTTCACGGCCCGGGTGCAGCGGGGGACCCGAGTTGCCTATGCGTGGTACTTCTCCTTACAGAAGGTCCAAGGGGACTCACTGGTCATCCTGTCGGGCCGTGATGTCACCTACACCCCAGTGGCTGCAGGGCTGCTGGAGATACACGTGCGAGCTTTCAACGAGCTGGGTGGCGTGAACCGCACACTCATGGTTGAGGTCCAGGATGTCATCCAGCACGTGGCGCTGCGCAGCAGCCGCTGCTTCACCAACCGCTCGGCCCGCTTCGAGGCTGCCACCAGCCCCAGCCCCCGGCGCGTGGCCTACCACTGGGATTTCGGCGACGGGACCCTGGTTGAGGACACAGAGGTACCTTGGGCTGCCCACTCCTACCTGCAGCCTGGGGACTACCATGTAGAGGTGAATGCCTCCAACCTGGTGAGCTTCTTCGTGGCACAGGCCACAGTCACTGTCCACGTGTTGGCCTGTAGGGAGCCCGAGGTGGACGTGGCCCTGCCCCCGCAGGTGCTGATGCGACGTTCCCAGCGCAACTACCTGGAGGCTCATGTTGACCTGCGTAACTGTGTCACCTACCAGACTGAATACCGCTGGGAGGTGTACCGTGCCACTAGCTGCCAGCGATCTGGGCGCATGACCCATGTGACTCTGCCTGGCGTGGATGTGAGCCGGCCTCAGCTGGTGGTACCACGGCTGGCACTTCCCGTGGGCCACTACTGTTTCGTGTTTATGGTGTCATTTGGGGACACACCCCTTGCACGGAGCATCCAGGCCAATGTGACCGTGGCCCCTGAGCGCCTGGTGCCCATTGTTGAGGGTGGCTCCTACAGAGTGTGGTCAGACACTCAAGACCTGGTGCTGAATGGCAGCAAGTCCTATGACCCCAACCTGGAGGATGGTGACCAGACGCCGCTCAGCTTCCACTGGGCCTGCGTGGCCTCGACACAGGTCAGTCACATGGTGGACCAAGGCTGGCTGCCCTCCTGGTCCGCCTTCAGTCATTTGTGTGAATGAGCTTGGTAGTCTCTTTGGTCTGCTTGACGTCTTAGTGGTCAGCTTGATCCCAGCAAGGGGGAGGGTCTTCCCAGCTTTCCCCTGGGCCAGTCTCCACTGGGAGGCTGGTCTAGAGTCTCACCTCCCACCCCCATTATGGGCTACAGAGTGAAACTGGCGGGTGTGTACTGAACTTCGGGCCCCGTGGGAGCAGCGTGGTCACCATCCCGCGGGAGCGCCTGCAGGCTGGCGTAGAGTACACCTTCAACCTGACTGTGTGGAAAGCCGGCCGGAAGGAGGAGGCCACCAACCAGACGGTGGGTGCTGCCCCAGCCAAGCCCTTGGCAGAGCCTCAGGCCTTCTGGGGTGGGGGCGCTGCCCCAGAGTTCTGAGTGCACAGGACCCCTGCCTACATATGGCAATGAGCACCCATTTTTAAAGTTTTCTATGTTTTAGTGCTTCCAGGTATTACTCACTTTAAATTATTACAACTTTTGACATAAAGTCTACTTAACAAGATGCTTCTCTGGCATTGCTTCTGAAAGGACCACAGCTGCACTCGAGCCAAGAAGCACAGTACAGGTTCTAGTGGTTTGTGAGAAATACCCTGTCCGCATGACACTGAAGGCTGACAATGAGGAGACACGTCCCCTCCCCAGAGCACGGTGTCCCTTCTGTGAACCCTGTGTGGGTATACACTCTCACTCTCTCCCCTGACTGGCCTGGCAGTTCAGGACCTCGTGCACTTGACCCCATGGCACCACTCCTGCTGCTGTGATGGGAGCGGATGTGCCAGGCCCTGCTGGTGTTCGGAATGGGGTGTCTGTCCCAAGCACCAGGCGTCTCCCAGCTAGCTTACCCCGGGAGGGTCCTGCTCAGAGGAGCCGTTGGGAGCTGCCTGACGTGAGCCCTACCCCAGTGCAGAGCAGCAGGAACCTCGGACAGAGCTGTGTAGAGCAGTGTCCGTGTTCCCAGAGCCATGGTCATTCATCTATCCAGGCATAGGTGAGCACCTGTCGGGTGCCTCCTGTGTACCAGGCCCAAGCTGGGCCCTGGATGCTGCAGAAAATGAGCCCTTTGTGGTCTCTGCTCCTTTAAATGATCCTCCCCCCAAGAATGGGAGACATAAAACCACACAAATATACTGGGTAAATGTTGAGCGCATGGTCCTTGGGAACCTGGGCTGCGGGCTGGTTTAGGAGTTGGCCGGGCCTGCGAGGAGCTTTTGCAGTTGTGGCAGCAGTATATGTGGAGAGCAGAGGCCCCACTCTTCCATGGATCCCACTGCCTCCCCACTGCACTAGCAGACTCAATGGTCGGCCTCAGGAGCAGAACCCCTGTGTGGGGGTCCTGGCCATGGTGGGCATGGCTTCCCTTTAATCCCACCTGATCCCCAGGTGCTGATCCGGAGTGGCCGGGTGCCCATTGTGTCTTTGGAGTGCGTGTCCTGCAAGGCGCAGGCCGTGTATGCTGTGAGCCGCAGCTCCTACGTGTACCTGGAGGGTCGCTGTGACAGCTGCAGCGGGGGCTCCACACGAGGGGTGAGCGGGCGAGGCCCAGGTTGGGGGACCAAAGGTGGGGGTCCTGGGGAGGACCCACTCCTGAGTACCTGTGGTCCACGTGCCCCCTCAGCGCTGGGCGGCACGCACCTTTAGCAACGAGACGCTGGTGCTGGATGAAACGACCACGTCCACGGGCAGCACGGGCATGCGGCTAGTGGTGCGGCGTGGCGTGCTGCGGGACGGTGAGGGCTACACGTTCACACTCACAGTGCTGGGCCGCTCCGGCGAGGAGCAGGGCTGCGCCTCCATCAGCCTCTCCCCCAACCGCCCTCCACTGGGGGGCTCCTGCCGCCTCTTCCCCCTCGAGGCTGTGCATGCTCTCATCACCAAGGTGCACTTCGAGTGTGTAGGTGAGTATGGCTGCAGGGCGCCGGTGATATGGGGACACATGGAGACCCTGGTGACGCTCTGGGGGCCCACAGGTTGGCAGGACGCGGAAGACGCAGGTGCTCCCTTGGTGTATGCCCTGCTGCTGCGGCGTTGTCGCCAAGGCCACTGCGAAGAGTTCCGTGTCTACAAGGGCAGCCTTTCCACCTACGGGGCTGTGCTGCCGCCCGGCTTTGCACCTCGCTTTGTGGTAGGCCTGGCTGTGGTTGTGCAGGACCAGCTGGGTGCAGCTGTGGTTGCACTCAACAAGTAAGCCTGGCCGGTGGGGGCAGGGCCTGGCTGGGGCTGGGAGAAGGGACTGCCACCTATTCACACATGGCCTCTGCCCATAGCTCTCTGGCCATCACTCTGCCAGAGCCCCCCAGAGACCCTGCCGACAGCCCGCTGGACCTCACGCTCTGGCTGTACAGCCTCACAGAGAGCATGCTGCCTGGGCTGCTGAGACAGGCCGACCCCCAGCATGTCATCGAGTACTCACTGGCCCTCATCACCGTGCTCAACGAGGTCAGTGCAGGCTGAGGAGCCCCTCCTGGAGCCTGCCCTCAGTGTCGGGGGCCCAGACCAGCACTCCTGACCGGGTCCTTGGAAAGGGCTTGTCCCTTGGCTCCTTGAAACTACTCCTGCTCTCAGCGGCACCGACTCTCTGGGCCCTCCCCAGCACTGGGCTCTCCCCGCCTCTCCTCTCCTGTGCCCCTAGCAGGGGGTCCTGGGAAAGCCCCCTTTTGCCCTCCAAACAAGGCTCGAGTTGCTGCTGGTGTGATGCAGCAGCTGAGATGGCCTGCCCTGTGGCTACCTGTGCTGCTGGTGGGGCTGCCTGTCTCCCACTGACAGCTCCCTATGCCCACAGTACGAACATACTCTGGCCATGGTGGCAGAGCCGGACCTCAAGCAGCAGCTGCGTGCCCAGATACGCAAGAACATCACGGAGACACTGGTCTCCCTGCGGGTCAACACCGTGGATGACATTCAGCAGGTTGCAGCTGCGCTGGCCCAGTGCACGGTAGGACAGGCTCCAGGCCCCGTGGCAGCCCTGGGCCAACCCACCCTGTTGCTCCCAGAGCTCCTTTCCAGCCGAGTCTCCTGGCCACGAGCTTGTCCTCGGCCCTCCCAGCTCGAGCCACAGGCCTGCAGGGATCCTGGGCACAAGGAGCAGCCTGGGTGTAGGGAAGGCTGATATGAAGGGGCCATTCTGTGCCTTCCCCCTCGGGCCTATCCAGCCCTGAGAGGCCACCCGCCACCCTCACCAGGGACTCAGGCACTGGGCTGGGCTTGGTCTTGATGGCGGGCACTGTGTCCAGGGTGGCAGGGGATTGCTGCCGAGGCCTCAGTGAAAGAGAAGGGAGTGGAGAACTTTCTGGGTGTGGGTTGCCCTGTCTGCCACATGGCTCCCGAGGCTGTGTGCGTGTCCGGGGTTGGCCAGTGGGGCCACATTACCTCAGACTCTGCCCACATGTGAGGAAGAGCCACGGATGGTCTCCAAGCAGGGTAGAGCCATATTTGGTGCGGTTTCTCTAACTGCAACTTGAAGGGTGGTTTAGGGAGGCCCAGCGGAGGGGGAAGGCCACTGTTAACAGAGGCTGCCCCAGAAACATGGTGAGTGTGGTGGAGCCGAGCTGGGTCGAGGGGCAGATGCAGGCAGAACTGCCCCTGAGTGGCCCCCTGCCCAGCCCTGGGCAGCTGGCTGGGGAGGGGCTGGACGTGGCGCTGGGCGCTCTGCAGGTGTCCAGCAGGGGGCTGTTGTGTCGCTCGTGCCTGAAGAAGACGTTGCATAAGCTGGAGGGCATGATGCGTATCCTTCAGGCGGAGACTGCCGCGGGCACTGGGACACCCACTGCCATTGCCGACAGCATCCTCAACATCACAGGTGTGGACGACTAGTGCTCCCCAGATTCCCCACTTCCTGTCTCCCCCGCCTCTCCCTCAGACCTTCCCCCAACCTCTCCCAGACCTCTCCCTCCCTTCTCTTCCCTTCCCTGACCTCTCTCCCACCTCTCCCTGCAGATCTTTTCCTCCCAACCCCTCCTCCTACCTCTTCCCCACCCCTGATCTCTCCCACTGGACCTCTCTCCTCAACCTTTCCCTCTTCTCTCCCAACTGCCCCCCGACCTCTCCCCCTAACCCGATCTCTCCCCCAACCCCGATCTCTCCCCCCATCTCTCTCCTTAATCTCTCCGCATCCACAGGCGACCTCATCCACCTGGCCAGCTCAGACATGCAGGGCCCGCAGCCGTCAGAGCTGGGGGCTGAGCTGCCATCACTGATGGTGGCATCCAGGGCCTACCACCTCTCGTCAGCCCTCATGTGCATCCTCATGCGCTCCCGTGTGCTCAACGAGGAGCCCCTGACCCTGGCGGGTGAGGAGATTGTGGCGCAGGGCAAGCGCTCGGACCCGCTGAGCCTGCTGTGTCAGGGCAACGCCTCGGTCCCTGGCTGCCACTTTTCCATCCCCACGGCCTTCAGTGGGGCCCTGTCTAACCTCAGTGACGTGGTGCAGCTTATCTTCCTTGTCGACTCCAATCCCTTTCCCTTTGGCTACATCAGCAACTACACCGTCTCCACCAAGGTGGCGTCCATGGCCTTCCAGACACAGGCTGGTGCCCAGATCCCTATCAGGCAGCTAGCCTCAGAGCGTGCCATCACGGTGAAGGTGCCCAACAACTCAGACCAGGCTGCCCACGGCCACCACCTCCCTGCCGGCTCTGCCGTCATCCAGCCCCAGGCCTCGGTCAGCGTTGTGGTCACCCCTGAGAACAGCAACCCGGAGGCTGGACTGCACCTGCAGCTCACCTACACGGTGCTCAACGGTGGGTTTTGTGGGCGGGGCACTCAGTGGGCCACCTCCTCCCCCTACCCCTGGCCCTGCCTGTGTGGGGGTGGTGAGGGATGGTCTGGGTGAACATTTCTTCTGGGACTTGGGAAAGTCAGTCTCCTGCTTAACAGGGTCCTGGGGGCCTGGCTGGAAGGCAGTGGGGGAACCAGGGAGGCTCACCCAGCCCCCCAGCCTGTGCAGTGTGAGGCTTAGGAAGGCTCACAGGTTTCTCTCGGGCTGTGTGAGCTGCCCAGGGTTGGGGGGTCCAACTCTGCACGTGCCCCTCACAGAGCTCTACCTGCCCGAGGAGCCCGAGCCCTTCCTGGCTGTCTACTTGCACTCAGTGCCCCATCCCAATGAGCACAACTGCTCAGCCAGCAGGAGGATCAGCCCAGAGGCCCTGGCCGGGGACGACCACAGGCCCTACACCCTCTTCATCGCCCCCGGGTGAGTGCGTCCCTGCCCTGGGGGGCATCCCTAGAGGACCTGGGGGGGCTGGTCTCTAAGAGGGTGGCTGTGATCAGATCCCTATGTGTCGAGGCCGGTGGCCTCCCCGTGGGGGCAGACCTGGCCAGGTCTGGCCGTAACACCCCTCCCCTCTTCCAGGACAGGAGACCTGGGCAGGAGCTACTACCTGAACCTGACCAGCCACTTCCGTTGGTCAGCACTGGAGGTGTCTGTGAGTCTCTACACGTCCCTCTGCCAGTACTTCAGTGAGGAGGAGATGGCGTGGCGGACAGAAGGGCTGGTGCCCCTGGAGGAGACCTCACCCAGCCAGGCTGTCTGCCTCACCCGCCACCTCACCGCCTTTGGCGCCAGCCTCTTTGTGCCCCCCAGCCACGTCCACTTCATCTTCCCTGTGAGTGGTGGGAAGCCCTGGCTCTGCCCTGAGCAGGTGAGGTGTGGCCTGTACCTCCTGGGCCTCCCTGATGACTTTGTCTCCCCAGGAGCCGGCCTCTGGCATGAATTACATTGTTCTGCTGACATGTACAGTATGCCTGGTAACCTACACGGTCATGGCTGGGATTCTGCGTAAGCTGGACCAGCTAGACGTCCGCCGGGTCCGCGTCATCCCTTTCTGTGGGAAGGGGGGCCGCTTCAAGTATGAGATCCTGGTCAAGACTGGTTGGGGCCGGGGCTCAGGTGAGGGGAGCCACCTTCCTAACAGGGACTCTCACAGATGGAGGGCACCAGGTTTCCCACGGCTGTGTAAGGTTGGGGCTCGGTAGTCCACACAGCATTACTGTTTTTCATTTCTCTGCTTTCCTGTTGGTCTCCCAACCCCTCTCTTGATGATGACACGTTTTTGTAAAATGTTGGTTTATCACTGGAGACAAGGAGGCGATACCCCTACACGCTTGATGGTCTGTGTGGGGACTGATAGTTCCATGGCGACTGGTCACCAGCAGACTTTTGAAGGGGTGACAGCATTGGTCACCACTTAGGATGTGCATCTCTTATTTACTTAGCAGACCGAAGGGCTGGCAGCTGTGTTGATGTTTCAGGCAGTTACTCGCAGTTAACGAATCATAATAACTGGCATTTGAATCATGTCATTGGGAGCTGTTGTTACAACAGTTTGAGGCAACTGATACGGGTCTGTATAGGACTTCTTGTGCTTGTGAAGGATGCTGACAGAGCAGGCTTGCGGGGTCACGTATCTGCTGGGCAGTGCACCCAGAGACCTGCCTGCTCTCCTTCCATCCTCCAGGTACCACAGCGCATGTGGGCATCATGCTGTACGGGGCAGACAGTCGGAGTGGCCACCGGCACCTGGACGGGGACAGAGCCTTCCACCGCAACAGCCTGGACATCTTCCAGATCGCCACCCCGCACAGCCTGGGCAGTGTGTGGAAGATCCGCGTGTGGCATGACAACAAAGGTCTGTGCAGCACCAGCTGCTGCTCCTCAGGCCACTGGCCCTGGCGCCCTGACCCGGCCCCACCCCCTCAGCGGCTCCACCCCCTGACCCAGCCCTGGCCCCTCTGCAGGACTCAGCCCCGCCTGGTTCCTGCAGCACGTCATCGTCAGGGACCTGCAGAATGCCCGCAGCACCTTCTTCCTGGTTAACGACTGGCTGTCGGTGGAGACTGAGGCCAACGGGGGCCTGGTGGAGAAGGAGGTGCTGGCAGCAAGTAAGGCCTCATCCTGACTAGGCAGCTGAGGGCAGCCTTGCCCTTGGACCTCCTGCAGCTGTCCTGTGCCCTTTCCCAGGCGACGCGACCCTGCGGAGATTCCGGCGGCTCCTCGTGGCTGAGCTGCAGCGCGGCTTCTTTGACAAGCACATTTGGCTTTCAATATGGGACCGGCCACCTCGGAGCCGCTTCACTCGTGTCCAGAGGGCTACATGCTGTGTCCTCCTCATCTGCCTCTTTCTGGGTGCCAATGCTGTGTGGTATGGCGTTGTGGGAGATGCTGCCTACAGGTGGGCGCCTGTGGGGGTCAGGACAGATTCCCTCTGTGCAACCCTTCCTGCCCCTCCCCGCCTCTCCCAGCCTGCTCTCTCTCCTCTCTGGCTACAGCCTGGGGCCTGTGTCCAATCTGATCCCTCTGAGCTTCGATACAGTCGCTGTTGGCCTGGTGTCCAGTGTGGTTGTCTACCCCGTCTACTTGGCCATCCTGTTCCTCTTCCGGATGTCCCGGAGCAAGGTAGGTGGGGCTGGGGCCCCGGAGCTCATGGAGCATGGGCACCGCTGCCCCCGCCAAGGGCTGTGCTGTCCAGTACGGCAGCCAGAGAGGGATGGTCACTGAGGTCAACCACACAGACTGGCTATACTGAACCAGGGAAAGAGAAATGCAGAGTCGAAATCAGGAATGAACGGGGGATATCCCTGCTGACCTCACAGACAGGCCTGGCCAGGTAAGGTGACTTAGGAGACACAGACAAGTTCCTAGAAAGACAAACTACAAAAACCTACACGTGAAGGAATAGGAAGTCTGAGCAGACCTGTAGCAAGTAAAGAAGTTGAATCGGTAATTTAAAACCTCCCACAAAGAAAAGACCATATGGCCTCACTGGTGATTGTACTAAGCAGTTATGGAAGAATCAACACCGATTCTTCACAAACTCAAAAAACCTAAGAGGGAGCATTTCCTAAAATATCCCACGATGCCAAAAGCCGACAAAGATGTGACAAGAAAAAGAAACTGCAGATTACCATCCCTTAGGGACCTACAGGCAAAAATCCTCAACAAAATAGCAACAAATCAAGTCCACCCTCGTGAGAAAGGATCTCGCACCACGACCAAGTGGCATTTTCCCCAGGAACCCAGTACAGTCATCTTTAGCTACGTGTGGCTGTTTACATTTAAGTTAATTAAAATGAGATTAAATTAAAACTTCAGTCTCTTTGTTACGCCAGCCACATTTCAGGTGCTCTGTAGCAGCACGTGGCTAGTGGTCACTGTGCTGGACAGTGTAGATGTAGAATGTGTGCCTTATTCTAGAACCTTTACCAGGACAGCAGTGCTCCAGACTGCCCACTCAGGAGGGAGCATGCCTCCTGTGCAGAGGCCTAAGCTGCCTCCCACCGGCTTCTCCCCACAGGTGGCTGGGGGTCTGAGCCCCACCCCCGTGGGGCCACAGGCACTGGATGTGGACAGCTGCCTGGACTCGTCTGTGCTGGACAGCTCCGTCGTTGCGTTCCCAGGACTCCGTGCAGAGGTGAGGGCTCCACCAGGGTCCGCCTGGGTAGGGGCTGCTTTCTGGGCAGCCCGGGGTCAGACTGTCTCTGTGCTTCTCAACAGGCCTTTGCTGGACAAGTGAAACAGGACTTATTTCTGGAGGATTCTAAAAGGTGGGGGTCCCTAGGGAAAATGTTTCTCATGTAGGTTAGCTGCACCTCACATGTGCCCTGTCGTGTGTCCTCATCCAGTGTTGCTGGCTGTGTGTTGTGTACCTGGCCCAGGAGTGTGTGCATTTAGCAGCCTTGCATGTCCATCTGGGCCTAGACTTGGGTTGGGTGTCTGCGCACACAGTTCCCCTGGGCTCCTCTCTCTCTGACCTGTCACCTGCAGCCTGGTGTGCTGGCCATCCAGCGAAGGCACGCTCAGTTGGCCAGACTTGCTGAGTGACCCATCTGTCATGGGCAGCACCCTGCAGCGGCTGGCCTGGGGCCAGATGGGCTGCACACTGGGCCCAGAGGAGGACAGTGTCTCCCTAGTCAGTCCCTCCTCCCCTGCCAAATACTTCTCAGCTTCAGGTGAGCAAAGGTGGGGAGGGTGGTGTCCTCCAGTCTCCCCAGGAAGGCACCATGACATGTTCTGCTCCCTCTAGATGAAGACCTGATCCGGCAGATCCTGGCTGAAGGGGTCAGTAGCCTGGTCCCTACCCAGGACACTCTGGGAGAAACGGACCTGCGCACTGGCCTGTGAGTGCCTGGCTCCTTGGGGTGGGAGCAGTGAGGAGCCCAGGGCAAGGGCCCTGCTCCCGGTCTGGGGCCATCCTTGTGCTGTCTGTCCAGTGCATGGTTGGGGTGAAGTTGTTGGGCCTCTGAGCCCCTCATTTGTTGAAAGGACCTCTTGGGGCTACCTAGGCCCTGTCAGTGTCCCCTTTAGGGCAGCAGGAGTGAAGGATGTTTGAATAACAAAAGGCCACTGATGTGGGGCAGGCAGGGCTTGGTTGTGAGGAGCAATCATTGACAGACTTTTAAATACCTAGTTTTTTTCTTCTGAAAGTATTTCGATTTTATGTTTTTAAGAATTTCTCAATTTCTTGGCTGGTTTCCAATTTAGTAACAAACATTCATATAGAATTACCTCTTAACATCTTTGCTCATCTGTATGTAATTTGGGGGTGCCTTGGAGGGGGGTAATTAGGTTTATTTGTTTATTTAAATGGAGGAGGTACTAGGGATTGAACCCAGGACCTCATGCTTGCTGAGCACGTGCTCTATCTCTGAGCTCTACCCTCCCCCTGAATTTACTTCTTTTTTAAGGCAGAATAATATTCCACTGTATGGATGGACCATGTTTTTGTTGGAGGTGGGGTGGGTAACTTGATTGACTGATTGATTGATTTTAATGGAGTTACTGGGGATTGAACCCAGGACCTCCATGCATGCTGAACATGCGCTCTACCACCAAGTTCTACCTCTCCCCCGTGTCTATTTTAATACCTATATTTCCATTCATTTTAACTCTTCTAGTTTTTAAGCAACCAAAAATTACTGAGATACATGAACTGTCCCAGAACACAAGCTTCTCAAAGTAGTAGTAATTAGCAGTGACCACCCCAGTACCTCTAGTCCCAAAGCCCAAAGTCCCAGACCAAACTCTGGATTCATTTTTGACTCTCTTTTAGTATTTCCTCACTTGAGATTCTGTCAGCTACTTTGCAGGTCCAGAATCTGCCTCTTCTCTCCATCTGCCCAAACATCCTCCTCTACCTGGACCATTCTGCTCATCCTCTGCAGCTCATCCCCACTCTGTGCCAGAGAGAGCCTGTTCCCTGCAGCAGGCCCCGTCACTCCACCCCTGGGGCCGTGGTATCTACTGCCACTTAATAGGTCAGCCCCAAATGCTCACTTGCAGCAAGGTGGCTGGCAGGCTGTCATGGGAGTTCCCAGCTCCTCCCTCTCTGGACCTCACTGCTAGGTTGCTTGAACATCCTCAAAACATGGCACTCCACCAACTACACCTGACCGGCCAGCCCCACCACCTCCCCTGCTGTCTCCTGCCACCCTCCATCCCTCGCTCCTGTCTTCACCTTTCATGTCTGCTGCTCCCTCTGCCTTGAGTTCCCCACCAAGACCAGAGCTGCGTGTTCTGCTTCCTCCAGGTCCTCCTTCAGATGCTGCTGGTCAGCGTCTGCCTTCCTGTCTCATGTAAATACCGTCAGGCACGAGCCTCTGTCTCCGTGTCCTCCCTGCTTCACTCGTGTGACTGTCTGCTTCCCCCACCAGCATGTGCACACGATATGTGCACAGACTGTGTTCTTGTCACTCAGTGCTGGGAATGGTGCCTGGCATTCAGTTAGGGGATAACGTACTTGTTGGTGACTAAAGGGATCAATGAATATTAATCCAGTAACACACATAGTCAGCTGTCATGCAGCTCAGAGTCTAACATAAAGTTCTGCAAATTCTATGCTAGATCCACTATATGATCCTGATATGCCATGTTCATATCCATGTGTGAAATACAAACACACATACAGAAAAGGGACAGAAAAAAACTAACACTGCTGTTCCCTGCATGACGGAAATGCTGTTAGATGTCTGTTCTCGGTTGTATTCCTACTTTCTACAGTTTATGCTACTTTTCATCAGAAAAGTCCATTTCATGAAGAAAATGTGTCCCATGACTTCCTACCTTCAGAAAACACAGTGCCTTTTATTCTCTAGGAGACGCATAAAACCAGAAACATTTGCTGCAGCTCAGTGGCAGGCACGTGCCAGAGCTCGGGGGGGGGGGCCCACCCTCTTCTTCCTCTGACACATTCAGGGCACAGCTGTGCAGAACCACTGCTCAGTGTGTGCACTTTTTTCCTAGAAGTGCCTCTCATGGTTTTGCTTCCCTCTTTTCTTTCTCTTCCATACTTTCTCCCGCCCCTGTAGCTCCCTGCCTCCCGTCTGTAGTGGCCCTGGCTCTGGGCAGGTCAGGGTGGCTCCATGGGGCAGGTAGCTCTCTGGGGTCTGTGGCACTTGTTGGAAGGTTGAGAACCCAGTCATGATTCACTAGCATGAAGAGCAGGCAGGGAGACGAGGCCGGTGGCTGGATGGTCATGCTCTGAGGTGATGGCTGCTGGGGTGGCGGCAGGATGGGGTGCAACAAGTCCCAGAGGTGCGAGGCCAGGACTTGGTTGCGGACTAAGCTGGAAGTGAGGGGGAGATGGACAGAAGCTGATGGCATTTCCTGGCCTGAGGAGCAGGGTGGATGTGGGCCCCTCCCCAGAGTGACCAGTGGTGTTCTGAGCCCCAGCACCATGCGCCATGTCCACTCTGGTTTGGGGCACTGTCCTTTCTCTCCATGGGCAAGAGGAAAGGAGACACACAGAGCCAGAGGCTCAAGGGACCTTTGGTGCCGAGGAAGTGGGTTGGCTGCATCCCGGGGCAGTGTACAGGCTGCCAGGTGAGCATGGGCTGGTCCCTCTTCCTGTGCCTCAGGTCCAGCACTCCCGGGGACAGGACTCAGACGCTGATGCTGCAGAAACTGGAGGAGAGAGGGTCGCCTAGTCCGGGCCCGACGTGGGAGCAGCTCCAGTCAGCCAAGCTTTCCAGGACAGGTGTGCTCCCGCATCCCCCAGATGACCCTCCTTGTCCCTTCTTCTGGGCTGCCAGTAACCTGTCTGTGTCTGCCTCCCCAGGGCTGGTGGAGGGTCTGCGGAAGCGACTGCTGCCTGCTTGGTGTGCTCCCCTGGCTCATGGGCTCAGCCTGCTCCTGGTGGCCATGGCCGTGGGGGTGTCGGGGTGGGTGGGTGCCAGCTTCCCACCCAGTGTGTCCGTCATGTGGCTCCTCTCAAGCAGCTCCAGCTTCCTGGCCTCATTCCTCTGCTGGGAACCGCTCAAGGTAAGTGGGATGCGAGGGGCCACACTGCTGGCTGCCGGCACCCGAGGGCCCTTCTGATGCCACTCCTGGCCCAGATCCTGCTGGAAGCCCTATACTTCTCACTGGTGGCCAAGCGGCTGCACCCCGATGAGGATGACACCCTGGTGGAGAGCCCGGCTGTGACGCCTGTGAGCGAGCGTGTGCCCCGAGTGCGGCCACCCCATGGCTTTGCGCTCTTCCTGGCAAAGGAGGAAGCCCGGAAGGTCAAGAGGCTGCATGGGATGCTAAGGGTGAGCTCGGGCCCTCCCTCTCTGGCCTGCTGGCCAGGGCAGCATCTTCCAGGAGGTCTGCCTTTCTCAAAAATCTCATATGTGCCCTTCTCCTGACCACTGAAGGCCCCTCAGCAGGGGTTCTGGGGCACTGTAGCCTCTGTGCCCACTCCCTCTCATCACCTTGGATCCTCTGCCCCTAGTCCTTGTTTGGCTTCTCATGCCCAACTCAGATGCATGTCCTGCCTGGCCTCAGGGGCCCTGGTGCGGCTCCTCGGCCTTCACTGACCCTGTCTGTCCCCAGGCCTGGCTCTCTCAGCACTAGGCCCCCTGGCTATGGACACTTTGCTGCCCATTGTCCATAAGTCTGCTCTGTTATGGGGGGCCAGGCTGGGATTGGCTGACCCCACGGCTACCCCTGCCCCCCAGGGCCTTCTGGTATACATGTTCTTCCTGCTGGTGACGCTGCTGGCCAACTATGGGGACACTTCATGCCACAGCCATGCCTACCACCTGCAGAGCGCCATCAAGCAGGAGCTGGACAGCCGGGCCTTCCTGGCCATCACCCGGTATGATGCACGCACCTCTCTGTACGCATGTCTGTCTGCTGGGCCAGGGTGGTGCTCTTGCCAACCAGGGTCACTTTGGTCCTGCCCTTGTCCAGTCCAGCCCCTGGGGTAGTGGGAAGCATCTCAATACATTTTTGGTTATCAGAACTGGAGTGGGTGCTGCTGGCAATGGGTAGAGACCACAGATTCTGCTCAGCACCCTACGTGCCCAAGTATAGCCCCACAGCAGCGTATCTGCCCCCATGTGTCAGGAAGCTGAGGTTGAGGAACCAGCACTGGCAGCTGCCTGTGAGCTGGGCAGGGCTTCATAGCTGAGCTCTCTGGGCCTCTGACCCCCGTGGGTGTGGTGGCCACAGAGGGCTGAGGGATGGAGCATGTGACTCTGTCTTGTGTGGGTAGGTCTGATGAGTTCTGGCCGTGGATGTCCCATGTGCTGCTCCCCTACATCCATGGGAACCAATCTAGACCAGAGCTGGGGCCCCCACGACTACGGCAGGTGCGGCTGCAGGAAGGTGAGTGGGGGAAGGGTACTCTGGCACTTAACCTTGCTTTTTTCCAAAGAGAAGCCTTTGGCTGGGGGCTGGTTCCAGCTCCCTTAGCTGGCGGACCTCCTCCTGCCTTTGTTTCCTGATCTTAAATGAGACTATGACATCTATCTTCTGCATAGTTAGGAGGGTTTGGTGAGATCATGAAGAGCTCAGCCCAGGAGGCTGGTAGACAGTAAGTGTTCCTGGGTCAGCCATGCTAATTCCCTGGTTGTCTGCCCAGCACTTTGCCCAGAACCTCCTGGCTCAGGGGCCCTCACATGCTCAGCAGCCTCAGGGAGCTTCAGCACCGGTGACTATGCCATTGGCTGGGGGAGTGCTGCCCATAACGGCTCTGAGACATGGGCCTACTCCGCACCAGACCTGCTAGGGTGAGCAGGGAGGGCGGGCCAGGGTGCCGGGGAGGGAGGAGGGAGGAGTTCTCCAGAGCAGCCCCTGGCCCCAGCATGCTTCGGGTTCCCACAGGGCAGGGCACCACTCTGACACTGCCCCCTCACCTGCAGCGTCTGGTACTGGGGCTCCTGTGCTGTGTATGACAGCGGGGGCTACGTGCAGGAGCTTGGGCCCAGCCTAGAGGAGAGCCGCGCGCAGCTGGGCTTCCTGCAGCTGCATAACTGGATAGACAACAGGTGGGCGCTTGGCCCCTCCCTGCCCCCACCCTCTCGGCACACCGGCCACAGCTGCATCCCCCTGCCCTCTGCAGGCACCATGCAGCAGTGGTCCAGTCCACTCCCACACCCCAGGTTTGCTGGTCTTGATCATTCCCCAGAGTGGCCCAACGAGCCCCACTGCAGCCCCACGTCCTCTCCAGGGCATGCCCCACCCTTCCCCAACACCTGCCGTCCAAGCCCCTTACTCTGCGATGGCGCCAGCTGTTCCGTTCCACACACTCCGACTCCAGCCCCTCTTCCGCCCCATTCTAACGCGCAGGAGCCGCGCAGTGTTCGTGGAGCTCACGCGCTACAGCCCAGCCGTGGGGCTGCACGCCTCAGTCACGCTGCGCCTTGAGTTCCCAGCCGCCGGACACGCCGTGGCGGCCCTCAGCGTCCGCCCGTTCGCCCTTCG